AATTTTATAAACTTGAATTCATATTTGGCCAATTTGTTTATATTACTTTTGTTTTCCTTTTTAAATTATATCTAAATATTTGCTATCACCTAGACTTTTGACAAAAGGTAATTCAGTAATGGGAAAACAATTAGATTTATTACACTAAGTTTGATAATAACCTGAATTCAACTATTTTAATTGATATAACTGAAATCACATTGACCAAAACAATATAATGCATCATATAATGTTTCAATATTAGGATTTGATGTCAGAAGGAGCCATACTACAAGCAAAAGTGCCACATGAAGATTAAAAAGCTATAGAAATGTAACCAGCATATATAAGGGTAATTTCTAACAAAATAATTTTAATTATCCCAGATTTCCTCAGAGGAATTCAGTATTTCAGAAATATATGATAAGCTTTTACTTCAAATTTTACATATATAATATATCTTGTAGGAAATTAGTAAATTTGGTTAAGCAATGCAAATTATTGCCATATCTTCCTTCATTCTACTAGAAAGCTTAAGCATGTGAAGTACTGTAAATTGTACAATATTTACCTTTATGCATGTGGAATTATAAAAGAAATAGCAGTCATTCCCAACTTCTGCCATTTTCAACTCTCTTGCTGCTAATCTAATGTGTTTTTTTTTTTAAAAAAAATATATATATAAAAGAATTGCAGGAATGCAAATATAAGAACTATCAGTGTGTAAGAGTGGAAAAAGAATTTCTTTTCCACAGTCTTTCAGGCTATCAGCAGTATTCCTTTAAAACTGACCTCCTGTTGGCAGTATATTACATAATACATAATTTCTAAAGAAATTTAAAGTAGAAGATACCTTCTCTAGCTTTGTAGAAATGTTGAACGTGGTTGCTAGTAAGCCACAAACTCAGACTTCCAGAATTTTCCTCACTGTTACCTAATCCATTGTTTGCTCATCATAGATGACCTCACATGTAACTGTAGGCTAGTTCACTAAGGCTGTTACTTAGTGAATACTGTATTTCCCTTATTTCTAGTATATTAACCAAAAAAGACTAAAATAAAATAGCATATTTCATCTTTTAACATTCTGATTGACTATGGAATGTAAACTAGTTTATATTTTCATAATTAAAAAGTAATAAGTATTTCACAAGTAAATAGCTATTTTCTAATCCTCTTGTTTCTATATATGGTTTGGAAATAAAACTAAAATTTTATAATATAATAGGTAAATATGCTATTCATATTCCAAGATAATACAATTATTTAAATATGGACTCTCTGCTATCCACTGATTTGGAAAAAAATCATATTCTGACTGTGATATAAGTACCTGAAAATAAATTGGACTACTTATTCATCTTGCAGCTTTATTCCGTTTATTTTTCATCCATCACAAAAGAAGGAGTAGCTTCTTCTTATAGCAGGTTCCACAGTGCTTGAAATTTTGAAAATTTGTTGAAAACAAACCGAAGTACTATACTCTGATTCCCAGAATGAGACATTTCACATGAGTACTGTGCACTAATCGATTGCACCACTGGAGCTTTGAGAATAAGACTTTTCAATCAGCAGTTATTGAGGTCTTCATCTTAGTATCTTTTTTTTCTTTAGAGACATAGTCTTGCTCTGTTGTCCAGGCTGGAGTGCAATGGCATAATCACAGTTCACTGTCACTTTGAACTTCTAGGCTCAAGAGATCCTCCCACCTCAGCCTCTGGAGTATCTAGGACTACAGGCCCATGCCACCATGCCCAGCTAATTTTTTAAAAATTTTTTGTAAAGATGGTTGCTATGTCGCCCAGGCAGGTCTCCAAGTTGGGCCTCAAATGATACTGTTGCCACAGCCTCCCAAAGTTCTGGGATTATAGGTATTGATTGTCTCATGCCTGTCCCCTTTTTAGTATCTTTAAGAAAAGAATTAGAACCTAGCAGACATTCATAAAAATATTCATTGTAGGTGACTTAAAAGATGACATGAAAATGACGGATTACACTAGATAAAAATGTATTTTTAAATTACCATGTACTTTTAATTGGAAATTTAAGAGTAAGACAAATATGGATTAACCACTTTGGTTAAGTAAAACAAGCTAAGCTACTACGAACTTTTTGAATACAATGCTTTAGGATAAAAATTTAAGAAATAAAACAGGCAACTAAAATTTAGGAAAGAGTTGTTCTGTAAATAAGAGAAGATAATAAAAACAAAGAACTAGGTATTATTAAAGGTGAAGAAGTAGAGAATAAAGATTTGGCTAAACTCTTGAAAATATTAGCAAAGATATATAGAAAAATATATATCTTCATTTGTGTTTTGCCCTACCTTTTAACTCTGGAACAACAAAGCACTCATCTTGAGTACATAGGATACTGGGAGAAACAACTGTAAGAAATATTTTTAAGTGGTTTTTGCATCCAACTGTGAATTTGTAGCTTCATTGGACTGTTTTCAAATACTGTTACCAAACACCATAATTGCATGATTACAAGTAATATGATTAAAGTCATTGTGAGAATCCATGTTTTACAATGGATAAAAAAAAGTATTCATTTTCACCCCACCTCAAGGCTGAAAAAATGTTTTTACCTCTTGAAGTTAGGTGGAAACAGCTACATTCCAGTAGACACAGCAAAACTGGGTCAAATTCACATGGGATTATTTTGTCATTACAGAGAACATTGAATAGATCTCTACATTTTCTCTACATGAGTCTTCACAATGCCTGGAGTCGTACTTTTTTCTTCTTTGCTCTTTTTGGCAAGGCGTGGTGGCTCACGCGTGTAATCCTAGTACTCTGGGAGGCTAAGCAGGAGGATCGCTTGAGCTCAGGAGTTAAAGAACAGCCTGAGCACAAGGGAGAACCCCATCTCTACCAAAGACAGAAAAAATTAGCTGGGCATGGTAGCGTGTGCCTGTAGTTCCAGTTACTC